TAAAACTTGCTATTTGTTAATTTCCTTCACAATAGTTTTATAGGTAGCTTCGGTTTCTTGAACAGATTTTAAGTTACTGATGTTACCAATTAACAAATTTAGTGTATGAGCAGCACAAGTGTACACAGCAATGTGATTGTATTTTTCGTTAAACATTGATAAGGATTTTACCATTGCTGCAGCATTATCAGTGACAATAGCACCAAATTGTTCAGTGCCTATTTCTGTCATTATTTCTTCCATATGGAATGCCATATATTCAGCAGTATGGTGTTCAACATCGGTTGCCACTATCTTATAAAACATTGGGTGGGCTTAAAGTGCAGCAGGGGAGGTTTAGATTGGACATTAGGAAAAAATTCCTAACTGTCAGGGTGGCCAAATATTGGAATAAATTGCCAAGGGAGGTGGTGGAATCTCCCTCTCTGGAGATATTTAAGAACAGGTTAGATAGACATCTGTCAGGGATGGCGTAGGTGGAGCTTGATCCTGCCTTGAGGGCGGGGGGCTGGACTCGATGACCTCTCGAGGTCCCTTCCAGTCCTATTATTCTATGATTCTATGATTCTCTTCTGCAGACTAAAGAAGCCCAAATCCCTCAAATTGGAGAGGGCCCTGTGGACGTCTACCAAAATGATTAGGGGGCTGGAGGACATGACCTATGAAGGGAAAGCTTCAAGCCACAAGCTGACACCCCGGCACACCCTGGTGCCCCTGAAATGGCCATTGAATTGGTAACTCCGCACTGCGGCGGGAAGAACCGTGTGCAACATAGACATTGGTGTCGTTTATAAGAACTGGGTGGTAACGGGGGGTCACTCCCCTGAGGCGAGCAGCCCCCTTGGCCGAGTGCATGTGTCCGCACGCCCTGCTACGGCGGCCCCCCTGCAACCCAGCCCCCTGCCAAGGCTGAGCCCCTGGAGCTCCAAGGAGGAACTGCCTCTCTGTGCCTCAGCAGCTTCCTTTTACCTGGTTTGCTGGGCCCTGATTGGACGATTCCTTGGCCCTATTCCATCTCCCCGGGGGGGTCTCAGTCTGTGGTTTGCTGGGCCAGTGTGGCAAGGCCAGAAGCCTCCAGCAGGGGGCTCTGTGGCCGGTTCACCCCAGCACGTGGCTGGACACGTGTGTCGGGGCAACCTGTGAAATATTCACGAACCTGGGGGGTACCGTGCCCGAGGCCTTGGGACTGTCACGCTCCTTAGGGATCTCAGGAGTGAATTCATGAGGGGGCTGGAACTGGTCTTCGAACCAGCACACTCTCTCTTTGCTTTCCTGTCACAGACATTTGTGTAGTTCAGAACAACTCGCTGGACACGTGTGTCGGGGCCAACTGTGAAATATTCACGAACCTGGGGGGTACCGTGCCCGAGGCCTTGGGACTGTCACGCTCCTTAGGGATCTCAGGAGTGAATTCATGAGGGGGCTGGAACTGGTCTTCGAACCAGCACACTCTCTCTTTGCTTTCCTGTCACAGACATTTGTGTAGTTCAGAACAACTCGCTGGACACGTGTGTCGGGGCCAACTGTGAAATATTCACGAACCTGGGGGGTACCGTGCCCGAGGCCTTGGGACTGTCACGCTCCTTAGGGATCTCAGGAGTGAATTCATGAGGGGGCTGGAACTGGTCTTCGAACCAGCACACTCTCTCTTTGCTTTCCTGTCACAGACATTTGTGTAGTTCAGAACAACTCGCTGGACACGTGTGTCGGGGCCAACTGTGAAATATTCACGAACCTGGGGGGTACCGTGCCCGAGGCCTTGGGACTGTCACGCTCCTTAGGGATCTCAGGAGTGAATTCATGAGGGGGCTGGAACTGGTCTTCGAACCAGCACACTCTCTCTTTGCTTTCCTGTCACAGACATTTGTGTAGTTCAGAACAACTCGCTGGACACGTGTGTCGGGGCCAACTGTGAAATATTCACGAACCTGGGGGGTACCGTGCCCGAGGCCTTGGGACTGTCACGCTCCTTAGGGATCTCAGGAGTGAATTCATGAGGGGGCTGGAACTGGTCTTCGAACCAGCACACTCTCTCTTTGCTTTCCTGTCACAGACATTTGTGTAGTTCAGAACAACTCGCTGGACACGTGTGTCGGGGCCAACTGTGAAATATTCACGAACCTGGGGGGTACCGTGCCCGAGGCCTTGGGACTGTCACGCTCCTTAGGGATCTCAGGAGTGAATTCATGAGGGGGCTGGAACTGGTCTTCGAACCAGCACACTCTCTCTTTGCTTTCCTGTCACAGACATTTGTGTAGTTCAGAACAACTCGCTGGACACGTGTGTCGGGGCCAACTGTGAAATATTCACGAACCTGGGGGGTACCGTGCCCGAGGCCTTGGGACTGTCACGCTCCTTAGGGATCTCAGGAGTGAATTCATGAGGGGGCTGGAACTGGTCTTCGAACCAGCACACTCTCTCTTTGCTTTCCTGTCACAGACATTTGTGTAGTTCAGAACAACTCGCTGGACACGTGTGTCGGGGCCAACTGTGAAATATTCACGAACCTGGGGGGTACCGTGCCCGAGGCCTTGGGACTGTCACGCTCCTTAGGGATCTCAGGAGTGAATTCATGAGGGGGCTGGAACTGGTCTTCGAACCAGCACACTCTCTCTTTGCTTTCCTGTCACAGACATTTGTGTAGTTCAGAACAACTCGCTGGACACGTGTGTCGGGGCCAACTGTGAAATATTCACGAACCTGGGGGGTACCGTGCCCGAGGCCTTGGGACTGTCACGCTCCTTAGGGATCTCAGGAGTGAATTCATGAGGGGGCTGGAACTGGTCTTCGAACCAGCACACTCTCTCTTTGCTTTCCTGTCACAGACATTTGTGTAGTTCAGAACAACTCGCTGGACACGTGTGTCGGGGCCAACTGTGAAATATTCACGAACCTGGGGGGTACCGTGCCCGAGGCCTTGGGACTGTCACGCTCCTTAGGGATCTCAGGAGTGAATTCATGAGGGGGCTGGAACTGGTCTTCGAACCAGCACACTCTCTCTTTGCTTTCCTGTCACAGACATTTGTGTAGTTCAGAACAACTCGCTGGACACGTGTGTCGGGGCCAACTGTGAAATATTCACGAACCTGGGGGGTACCGTGCCCGAGGCCTTGGGACTGTCACGCTCCTTAGGGATCTCAGGAGTGAATTCATGAGGGGGCTGGAACTGGTCTTCGAACCAGCACACTCTCTCTTTGCTTTCCTGTCACAGACATTTGTGTAGTTCAGAACAACTCGCTGGACACGTGTGTCGGGGCCAACTGTGAAATATTCACGAACCTGGGGGGTACCGTGCCCGAGGCCTTGGGACTGTCACGCTCCTTAGGGATCTCAGGAGTGAATTCATGAGGGGGCTGGAACTGGTCTTCGAACCAGCACACTCTCTCTTTGCTTTCCTGTCACAGACATTTGTGTAGTTCAGAACAACTCGCTGGACACGTGTGTCGGGGCCAACTGTGAAATATTCACGAACCTGGGGGGTACCGTGCCCGAGGCCTTGGGACTGTCACGCTCCTTAGGGATCTCAGGAGTGAATTCATGAGGGGGCTGGAACTGGTCTTCGAACCAGCACACTCTCTCTTTGCTTTCCTGTCACAGACATTTGTGTAGTTCAGAACAACTCGCTGGACACGTGTGTCGGGGCCAACTGTGAAATATTCACGAACCTGGGGGGTACCGTGCCCGAGGCCTTGGGACTGTCACGCTCCTTAGGGATCTCAGGAGTGAATTCATGAGGGGGCTGGAACTGGTCTTCGAACCAGCACACTCTCTCTTTGCTTTCCTGTCACAGACATTTGTGTAGTTCAGAACAACTCGCTGGACACGTGTGTCGGGGCCCTGATCTCGGCTGTTCCATCCAAGGGCTAATTTCTCCTGCTGATACAATGTGCAATCCACCCCTAGTCTGAGTGTGACAAGCCGGGGGCAGGCAGAGACACGGGATACGGCCGGACGGGACCAGTGTGAGCAGCGACTCTGAGCTCCTGCCGGAGACCTGCCCTGAATGAATCCCTGGTCCAGCCGGAGCAGGGCTTGTGGAAAAACAGCCCACTTGCCCAGGAACAGGAATCCCCAGGGGCTAATTTCTCCTGCTGATACAATGCGCATCTCACCTCTAGTCTGAGTGTGACAAGCCGGGGGCCACGTTACCAACCCCCAACCTGAAACATGTTCCTGTGCTGCGGGCAGCAGAGCGGAAGGGGCAGAATCTCCTGCCTCCCTTTAAATGATCTAGGGATGATAATGAAGTGAGTAATGGCCGCCTCGCTCCTCCGGCCCCAATCCGAACAAGTCCTCACCAATTCCCTGGCAGAGCAGCCCCAGGCTGGCAGGAGAGGGCTCTGGCATGTTGGAATTGGGCAAGTCAGTGTGGACTTCCCTGTCCCCTTACTCCAGGGGGACTCACAGGTTCATTTTGAATTTACACAGGGGTTGGGAGTTGGCCGGGACAGCGACTGCTCGTCATGGTGGGTTTCAATAGCACCAGCTTCCACCCTGCGACGTTCCAGCTGACCGGGTTCCCAGGCCAGGAGGCGGTTTACCACTGGATCGCCATCCCCTTCGTTGTGTTATACGTCACTGCCGTGGTGGGGAATTGCCTTGTTCTCTGCATTGTCTGGGTAGACCGGCATCTCCACCAGCCCATGTATCTGTTCCTTTGCATGTTGGCAGTCAACGATGTTGGAATGTTTCTGACAACCCTGCCCACCGTGCTTGGCACCTTCTGCTTCCATTCCACAGACATCGCTTTCAACGCCTGCCTGGCCCAGATGTTTTTCATTCACTTGTTTTCCCACATGGAGTCGGGGATTTTACTGGCCATGGCGTTCGATCGCTTGGTGGCCATCTGTAACCCGCTGCGCTACGCAGCCATCTTGACCCGCCCCAGGATCATGGGAATCGGGCTGGCTGTTGTGGTTAGAAACTTCAGCGTGGTGTTTCCTGTTCCCTTTCTCATTAAACGCTTGCCGTTCTGTCGCTCCAATGCCCTCTCCCACGCCTACTGTCTGCACCCTGACGTGATGAAGCTGGCATGTGCGGACATCTCAGTCAATAATATCTATGGCTTATTTGCTGTTCTCCTTGTCTGCGGAATAGACCTGTCGCTTATTTCCATCTCCTACGTTGTAATTGTGACGACCATCTTCAATATAGCCTCTGGGCGGGAACACCTCAAGGCCCTAAACACCTGCGTCTCCCATGTCTGTGCTGTGCTAATCTACTTCATTCCAATGATCGCAGTCTCTGTCATACACAGGTATGGCAGGAACACCCCTCACGTGGTCCATGCCCTAATGTCCACTTTTTACCTCTTCGTACCCCCTGTGTTAAACCCCATCATTTATACTATAAAAACCAAGGAGATTCGAAAATGCATCCTCAAAATGTTCTCTAGGTGAAGACAGTTTTAAATATTGCATCCAAAGAGCAGCGCCTCACAGCCCTGAACACCTGCATCTCCCACATCTGCGCCGTCCTACTCTTCTTTGTCCCAATAATTTCCCTTTCTGTTATTCACAGGTTTGGGAAAAATGTCCCTCATGTTGTGCAAATCCTTATGTCCTATGTCTATCTCTTTGTCCCTCCTGTGTTAAACCCTGTCATTTACAGTGTGAAAACAAAGGAGATTCGCAAGGGGATCTTCCGCCTGTTCTCTAGAGACATAATGTAAAGAGGGAGTTGTATGAGTTAAGGTCTGCTTCGACGAGTATTGAATGCCTCGACAGAAGAGCTCCACATCTTTCCAGAAGTTATTTCACGCTATCCAACAGTAACATACTAAAGCCACTCAAACTGTGTATGGTGAGTGCCCTGTAGCAAGCTCTGTTAGCGCTTTTGATGGCTTTCCATTTGCCTCAGACATTAAAGAAATTCAAAGTCAAGCAGTGTTTCGGGGTGGAGAGTGTGGCTGTGAGCAGGAAGGAAACGCTCCTGTAAACCAGAGACCTTGCTGGTCTGATGTCAGTTCTACAGCACAGACTCATTGTTAGCCCCGTGTATCTCGCACGAGGATGGGGGTGGGGAGGGGCAGCACTCCTGCCTTCGCCATAGGTCCCCCATATCTGTGATGGGGGAAGGCCACATGCTTTGTCACATCTGCACACTCAGCCCCTTGCCCACACCAGGGGCTGGGGAGCATCTTTCTGCCCCACTCCCCATGCTCATTGTGTGCCCCCTCTCAAGGGAAGTCAGGCAACACCCGTTTCTTCCCCCTTCTCAGTTCTCTTCTTTCTGCCAGAGAACTCATCCCAAGGGGTGACACTGACATCGCGTTGGAGGCCAGAGCTGAGATGGGGACGTTTGTTATGCTGGGAGGTGCACGTGACTCCCGTCAACCGTGGCTTCGCTCTAGAGCCAGTTCCAGAAGGGGATGACATTGCTGGTGCTTCTAATCAGACACCAAGAACTCCTGCTTGTGTTCCCCTTTGCCACTTGGTTGGTTTTTTTGAAGGCACGTAACCCCACAGGGCTGAGCCCATGAGTGGCTAGGAGAGTTCCTGAAACCTTGTAATGGGTTGGCCGCAGCACTCAAAAAGTACCACATTGCCGACAAATAAACAGAGACAGGCCACCAGGCTGTGTCCCTGTCTGCCCTGTGCCTGGCTATCCACATTCCCTGGCAGATAAATGGCTTGGAGGAATAAGGAGATGGGCAGAAACACGCTGCAATACAGTGGGCCTGGGCCAGACATTGTATGTGGCTGCTGCTTGGGAAGAGAACCTGGCCAGAGCAGTGGGAAGCACAGGGCAGTGTTGCCAAGTGGTGTCTGTTGCTCACAATTTCCTTGGGGAGTCTGTTCCTGCCAGCGGGTGGGACAGGTCTCTGGAATGGTTGCCAGCCTGAAAAGGCCATTTCCAGACCCAGCCCAGTCCACAGAGATGGGTCCGTTTTGATGAGACATTTCTAGACATTTCACTTTCTGGTTTTATTTAGTGTCAAACTTTTCCTTTCAATGAATAAACCAGGGCTGTCAAGGAATTAAAAAATGTAATTCCGATTAATCACGTGCGCCTCCCTTTTGAAACGCCACCCCGGTGTGTCACCGGGCCAGCTCTTCATGGAGCCCGGGATCAGCTGGAGTCCCCAGCTGACCCTTGGCTCCATGCAGTGCAGCCCCTTTGAAGCGCCTCGGTGGCGCATCAAAGGGGGAGTGCAACACAGAACCCAGCATCAACTTGAGAGCCCAGCTGACCCTGAGTCCCGCTGCCACAGGGAGCCCAGAATCAGCAGGGAGTCCCCAGATGACCCCGGGCTCCAGGGCTTCTGCTTTAAAAAGCTATCTGTGGCATTTCAAAGGGGCAGCTGCCGTGGAGCCCAGGGACTGCCCAGCTGATCCCAGGGTCTGTGTGGCAGCAGAACCCAGGGTCAGCTGGGGACTCCCTGCTGAGCCTGGGCTGCAGGGCTGACCCTTTGAAACACATGCAGAGGCGGCATTTTAAAGGGGCAGCAGCAGAATCCTAGAATCCCAGGGCTGGCAGAGACCTCAGGAGTCACCAAGTCCAGCCCCTGCCCAAAGCAGGACCAGCCCTGACTCCATCATCCCAGCCAGGGCTCTGTCAAGCCGAGATTTTAAAACCTCTAGGGATGGAGATTCGACCCCCGGCCTAAGGAACCCATCCCTGTGCTTCCCCAGCTGCCTAGGGTATGTCTACACTGCACTCCTCTTTCCAGAGAGGAATGCAAATTCAGGGGAGCGAAATTGCAAATCAAGCGCAGATTTGAATTTCCCATGCTTCATTTGCATAGTCACAGCAGGCCGCTTTTTTGAAATACCCTATTTTGAGATAAAAAACGCTGTTTAGATGCGAAAGCGGCGAGGAGTCCTGTGGCACCTTATAGACTAACTGAAGTGTAGGAGCATAAGCTTTCGAGGGAAAAGATGCGGTTGTTTTCAGAAAAAACCCTTCTTTCAAAATAACCCTTAAACCTAATTTTTCAAGGAGTAAGGGTTATTTTGAAAGAAGGGTTTTTTTTTTTTTTTTTTTTTTTTTTAAAAAAACCCCCCTCGGGGTATTTCAAAAAAGTGCCTGGACACGATAATGCAAATGATGCATGAGAAATTCAAATCCGTGCTTCATTTGTAATTTCACTCACCTGCATTTGCATTCCTCTCTCGAAAGAGGAATGCAGCGCAGACATACCTCTAGGGAAATCGATTTTCCTAATGTCCAACCTAGACTTCCCCACTGCATCTTAAGACCATTGCTCCTTGCTCTGCCGTCTCTCTCCTTTGGCATCTCCCATCAGGAAGTTGAAGGCGAATATCAAACCCCCCTCACTCTTCTAGGTTTGTTGGGGGCAGGTGAGCAAAGCCCACAGGTAAGTGCTGCATGTGCGGGACTGGGAAATGGGTTGGAAATGGGGGGGGACTACGGCCTATAATGGCAAGGAGAAAGGAGGGTCAGGGCACAACAGGGAGGCAAGATCAAATCAGTATCTTAGATGCCTATATACAAATGCGAGAAGTATGGGTAATAAGCAGGAAGAACTGGAATTGCTAACCAATAAATACAACTATGATATCATTGGTATTACAGAAACCTGGTGGGATGGGACGCATGATTGGAATATTGGTATGGAAGGGTACGGCTTGCTCAGGAAGGACAGACAGGGAAAAAAGGGAGGAGGGGAGCATCTTTCTGCCCCACTCCCCATGCTCATTGTGTGCCCCCTCTCAAGGGAAGTCAGGCAACACCCGTTTCTTCCCCCTTCTGAGTTCTCTTCTTTCTGCCAGAGAACTCATCCCAAGGGGTGACACTGACATTGCGTTGGAGGCCAGAGCTGAGATGGGGACGTTTGTTACGCTGGGAGGTGCACGTGACTCCCGTCAACCGTGGCTTCGCTCTAGAGCCAGTTCCAGAAGGGGATGACATTGCTGGTGCTTCTAATCAGACACCAAGAACTCCTGCTTGTGTTCCCCTTTGCCACTTGGTTGGTTTTTTTGAAGGCACGTAACCCCACAGGGCTGAGCCCATGAGTGGCTAGGAGATTCCCTGAAACCTTGTAACGGGTTGGCCGCAGCATTCAAAAAGCACCACATTGCAGACAAATAAACAGAGACAGGCCACCGGGCTGTGTCCCTGTCGGGTTGGCCGCAGCATTCAAAAAGCACCACATTGCAGACAAATAAACAGAGACAGGCCACCGGGCTGTGTCCCTGTCTGCTCTGTGCCTGGCTATCGAGGTTCCCTGGCAGATAAATGGCTTGAAGGAATAAGGAGATGGGCAGAAACACATTGTAATAGAGTGGGCTCGGGACAGACATTGTATGTGGCTGCTGCTTGGGAAGAGAACCTGGCCAGAGCAGTGGGAAGCACAGGGCAGTGTTGCCAAGTGGTGTCTGTTGCTCACAATTTCCTTGGGGAGTCTGTTCCTGCCAGCGGGTGGGACAGGTCTCTGGAATGGTTGCCAGCCTTAAAAGGCCATTTCCAGACCCAGCCCAGTCCACAGAGATGGGTCCGTTTTGATGAGACATTTCTAGACATTTCACTTTCTGGTTTTATTTAGTGTCAAACTTTTCCTTTCAATGAATAAACCAGGGCTGTCAAGGAATTAAAAAATGTAATTCCGATTAATCACGTGTGCATCCCTTTTGAAACGCAACCCCGGTGTGTCACCGGGCCAGCTCTTCATGGAGCCCGGGATCAGCTGGAGTCCCCAGCTGACCCCTGGCTCCATGCAGTGCAGCCCCTTTGAAGCGCCTCGGTGGCGCATCAAAGGGGGAGCGCAACACAGAACCCAGCATCAACTTGAGAGCCCAGCTGACCCTGAGTCCCGCTGCCACAGGGAGCCCAGAATCAGCAGGGAGTCCCCAGATGACCCCGGGCTC